GTATGTGTGGGTCTGAATTGTGTTTGTGTGTGAGTGTGAATGTGTTGTGCAGCTGAAATGGTGTGAGAAGGTTTTCCCAAAATGATATTGTAAGTTGAAGGGCACACACCAAAACTATAATTTTAGTTTTAACGCACACAAAATTTATCTTTCATTACCAAAGTAATGATATAAAATCATTCCACAAGTCTTCCAACATTCATAGTATAACAGATCTCTTTCTCTCTCTTTCTTATTCACTTTGGCTCTCTCCATTGCTAACTCTCTTTGCTTACCCTCAAAATCCTAAAACTTGATCAACAATGAAGGCAATAAGCAAGGATGGTTGTTGTTCCGCCCATCTCCTCAACCGTTCCGATGTCCTCTTTCTCTATTTGTCATTTACACACATGTCAAATAACAATAATTGAGTGTTAACTAGATGAATTTGAATATAAATTAGATGGATTGAATATTAATTTGGAGTTAATTTGATGAATAAAGTGTTAATTGAATGAAATTGAAAGTTAATTTGATTAATTTAATGCTAACTAATAACAGACAGAGGGTTAGTAGACGATTGCGCCCTATTAAGTAAGTTGTCAAGGCCGCTACTAGTACTAAGGGGAATTGGTTATAATTGTAGTTTTTGGTGTCCCTTCTCTATAAGAGTGTTGTATTCGATAATCAAAACATTGTAGAATAGAAAAAATCTTCTGAGAAAGATCCCAAAATTTCCAAGACCATTTAGCTTTCTGTTTGATCAAGTCCACAAGAACCTGAAGAATCTGATTCTATGATCAAAGGATAGACTTCCAATCCATAATCCTTCACAAGAAGTAGACCATCCAATAATGCAAGGACTTCAGCTTCCATGTTTGAGCAAGTTCCATAATAGTATAAACCAGTTAGAACCATTTGACCCCACTCATTTTGTAAAACCATAGCATCACCAACTAGACCTGGATTGCCCTTTGAGGTACCGTAAGTATTTAGTTTAAGAAATCCAGGCAGAGGGAAATTCCAACAAATCCATTACAATAGTCTAGTGAGCAAAAACCTTCGAAAAAGTTGATGCAAACCTTCTAGAAGGTCTTGAGGTAGAACCAACTCCAGAGGGCTAAACATTCTAAAAGGTTGATGCAAACCTTCTGGAAGTTTTTCTTTCAACTTGTTTTTTCTTGATTTCTTTACCTTCCAAGCCTCCCGTTAAGCCACCCTCCATCTCCACGCGAATGAAGAAGTATGTTGGTCAAGGTCACAGACCGTTGGAATTTCAATTCGGTGACCTAGTCTTGTTGAAAATGACTCCTACAATATGGAAAATGATCAATAGCAAAGGTAGTGCACCGCTGACTTGTTCCCAAATATGATGACCCATTCGAAGTGATGAAGAATCCTTGTAACGTCCACCACTTTTTATGTTGGCAGCTCTTTCAAATGACTTGAGTTTCCTCCTCCCAATCTCTCTCCACTTGAGTGGTGGTGGTGGTGGTGGTGGTGGTGGTGGTGGTGGTGGTGGAGGGGGGGGGGGGGAGGCTGACTATTCAAATTATGCATTTATTGATTTGCAAGGTTTAAGGCAGTTTTGGTCAAATTGTAGAAGTATAATGTAATTCAATTATCTTGCTTTAAGTGTTATTTAATGAATTAGTGGATGCGTTGGGATAATGGATTTTGATTTGTATTTTATAGTATCAAATATTGTAAAACTAATAATTAGGATATAACTTGAAGTGGTTATTAAATATATTTTTTATTTTTATTATCTTAATTCGGTAAACACAAATGACTCCCAAATATGTTTTCTGTTTTTAGTGTTTACCACAAAATAAAATAATTTTTTTTTTGTTTTTGATTTGTTTTGAAAATGCAAAAATAAAAATGTTATGAAACGACTTTTTAGTTTTGATCTAAAACAATGAGATTTTTGTTTGATCAATAACTGTTACTAATTATATCTACATGAACTCATACCTATTCGAATTGAATTCCATTTGAAATTGAATGCATAATTAAATTAATAATTAAGAAATATCATAAAAAAAATAGAGTAACTTCTTTTTTCTTGATCCGGTCAATAAAGACATAAAAATATTTTGATTTATTTATCTCTTATTTTATATCTAATGGATTTCCATAGACCAACACATGATTTTTTTTAGGCCTTTTTGGGATCGAGTCTTATATTACAAGGTTTAGGAGTAGTTTTACTTCCTAATTCAATTTATTCTACCTTCTCATTGGAATTGTTTTTTTTTTGTATATCATTATTCTATGTTCTATCGATCTCCCATTTTGTTGCTACTATGCAACTCCTTATTTATGTAGGAGCTATAAATATTTTAATCATTTTTGTTTTAATGTTCATGAATGGTTCATAATTTTACAAAAAAAAAAAAAAATTCATCTTTGCACCGGTGGGATGGGATTACTTTGATAATTTGTAAAACTCTTTTTGTTTCATTAATGACTACTACTTCAGATACGTCATGACATGAGATTATTTGAATTATAAAATTAAATTTTTTTCTCATTGCACCTTCGATGTTACAAAATGATCATGATATGATTCTCACACTAACATTTGCATTTAGTGTGGGGGCCATATTGTAATTATTTTACGATATTAAAAGTTTTGATCAACATCGAGGGTTTTGAAATCTTTTGGGGGTACAAAGTATGATTCGCCCCTAAACAAAAGGAAAAAAAAGGTCTACGTGGCGGTATATCAGCTCTAAGCAGTCGCTAATTAGATCAAACTCTAAGTTCTGTTTCCTCCTAAAAATGGAAGCTTAATCCATGGTAATTATCACCAGTAAGTGATCTTATCTTTCATGAACAAGATCAATTAAGGTACGAAAATGTCAGTTTAGCCGAAATGGGCTTCGTTCATTTGTACATTTCTATTGTCTGTTAGTTTCTTTGCATTTGCTTCATAATTATTTCTAACAATCTGTTTGGTTCCAAAGAAAATAGTGATAAGAAAGTGGTCTGACCCTTTGTGATCTCCATCAATTCAGCATCCAATTGTCGTTTTTTTTCCCTATTCTCCGTCCCTAAAAATGGAGATTATTGGGTTCAAACAGTCAAAAATATTTGGTTTCTTTGTCTTTCCTGCATTTTCTCAGTAGCCAAACTGATTTTTGGTGTCCTTGTAGGTGTTGCATTTTGTGTATAATTATCGAGATCTGGGTTTTGTATTTCACGTGCTATAACTTCTGCGAAGTTAGTGCATTGTTGTGAAATCGAACCTCATGTCTCTGTATTCAGTTGAATGGTGTTATAGCATACTTCACAAAAGTAAAATATTTCTATTTCTGGGAAATGTTATGAAAATCAAGAAAGAATTTGTCAACGAATACGAACTATGGCCACTGCATCCCTTCCGAATCGTTGTGGCATCAGTTCTCCTTTATCTATGTTGATGGATGCATCAACATTGATAATTTTTGGGAATGGAAATTGTCTTAGTCTCATCTTGCTTTTTTTTTTGGGGGGGGGGGACTCTTCATCTGCCTCTCATATCCAAATGTTCAGGACACTCTTGCATTGCTAAATGTTGGAAAGGAGAATAAGCCCCAGAATGCTTTTGTTGTCACTTTAGTTGGGTCTCATTACCTTATGTCATGTCCCATAATAATTGTCTATTTAAAATTGAGGTGGATCATTGTCTGCTCTATGCTAATCTTTGATGATTTTTAGTTGTTATTCAATATCGTGACATGGAGTGACAACGTTTACACTTTCCACATACACAGAAAATTGTCTGCATATGTTCGGTCATAGCCTCTGATGCATCATTTGGGGCCTCATCATACTCGTTTGGTTGGGGTTTGGACTCTAATAGCTTTTTTCTCAAATGTGGGTTGTTTAAGCTCTAGCTTGCTTGTTGAGACTTGTGGATTGCAAGCATTCAAAACTTCTATTATAATTGCGTGTTATGAAACCAAATCAGTCTCTCTATTTTCCTTAGCATTGCAAAAACTTGTTTTAAAATATATACCACAAATATTGAGAACTGGATGAAGTGAACTCGAATTTCCTGGATAATTTGAAGTAGAAAGGCTTCTTTCCAAACCACTAACTCATGGTCATGCATTAGGCTATACGTAACAGTAATATCATTGGATTCAATGAATTACACTAAGCTGTGAGTTGTAGATATATTGTTTGTACGAGTTATGTATCAATGGCGCCCGCCTTTTACTTTGTGCCCACTTTGTTCTCTATAAGCTTCCATAAAGAAAGTGATTGCTCACTTCTCATTATAGATTCCCACGATAAACATTGCATGAACAAATTCTACATTCAATTTCTCAAATTACTGAAAAAATTTGATATGTTGGCTTGATATGTTAAGATTTACATGTTAAAATGTCAAATGTTGATACTGTTCGGAAAAAAATATTTAAAAAGGTAGATTAAAAAGATGCTCGGTTCTATGATGCATTATACATCCATGAATTTGGCAGCGTACCCATTTAATCAAGTGGCTCTGCTTGTTTAAGTTTTTTAATTTTATGGTGAAATTTATAAGAACTTAGTTTAAAAAAACATTCAAGAATAACAGGAGAATGGTTTAGTCATTCAACTGCAAGGAAGCTCATTACATCATTTGAAAAGATTATATGGACTGTTTAACTAGTTTCAGAAATACATTGTTTCCTAGATACTATTGCTATAATGATGTTTTTAAATAATAAGATAAGCTGGTAGGTTAGTGAATTTAGGGTGCACGTAAATCTCTATAAACTGTAGCTTAAAGCCTTAAGAGAGGCCTTAAAGGACAACTTCTGAAAGGAAGAAAAGCAAAATCCTATATTAGCCTTCTCTCACTGGTTTTTCTTTCCTTTTTTTTGTTTGACAATTGAAACTCTGTTTCTGACTTTAATCTTGAATTGGGAAATCTGTCAGGGTTCATGGAAGTTCCTGATGTTTCAATTTTGAGTGATTCCTAGGGTTTGGGCATCAAGTGCGTGCATTGCAATATGGATCATGGATTTAAATTTTTATGTCAGATGGAAACTAGGAGATTGATATGGCTACTTGGGACGATATTTGCTGTAATTATGGTTGTTCAGTATTCTGAAATTCCATATGGTAGTGTTTTGTCATCTATACTTTCTGCTGGGAAAGCCTCATTCGCTGGGGAAAGCAACTCCCCAGCTAAAAATTTACCATCTAACTCTGATAGGGTTGGTAACACCACACTGTTAAATGGTTTAAACTTAACTTATAAATATGCACTACCGCCAACAATTTCATCAGTCAGCACAGCCTCTCCTCACAATTGGGACCACAACTTAATACCTCCTGCTATGTCTGTAGACCTCAACATATATTCAGTGCACAAAGATGAAACAGACATGCTTACTAAAGACGAAAAGGGACCTGGGCAGAGTAATCTCGCTACGTCAAACAGTAATTCTTCTTTGACTGCTCTTAGTGCAGTGAGCAACAAGTCTGAAATGCCGGTATTGTCAATAGCTCAGATGAAGGGGTTGTTGCTGCAGAGCCACTCTTCACCTTGCTCGCTGGTGTGTATATAGGGTTGTGTAATAATTTGGTCAGAGAGGATGATATGCGAAACATAATTTCAAATTTCTGTTGCCTTTTTTTTATCCTTCAGCCACCACAATGGTCTTCGAGGGTAGACCAAGAACTACTGTATGCAAAATCAGAGATCGAGAATGCCCCCATCAGGAAGAATGATACAAGACTTTATGCACCTCTTTATCAGAATGTTTCGATGTTTATAAGGTACACTCCATGCATTTGATTGAATAGCTTGTTCTTTTGATGTACTTAACAACATTTTCACTTGTACCAAACCATATGAGCTACTTACAGTAAGGGAGGTTCTGTAACTGAAGTAAACCATGCTCGACTTACCAGATGGTCTGGCACCATTTCAATAGTATGACTATAGTAGTTTGCTTAGAGTTCAAAATTTTGGGGCAAGTAGTTTCGGGGGATGTACTAAAAGAAAAGATGACCCCTGAGAGTTGAGATTTGATCAACTCAACTGTTCAGCAGACTTGAGTGTTAATTTATTTGACAGGAATCTATACTTAATGAATATTGTGCCAGCGAATTGGATGGGTAAGAAAAAAGCACGTAGTTGGATGCTTTCTGGGCATGTCTACGTATTGTCAATTTTGAGTTGGATCTTTAATATGGCATCGGAAGGCTTTGGGCAAGCTTCCCTATTTTGGTTATACTAGTACGATTATTGGTTCACCCTTTCTTCGTGTCATAAGTGCACCTTATTATGCCACTAATTGTGTCTTTTGACTTTAGTCTACCTCTCCACATGACAACGGGTCCTCACATGGGAGGAGCATTAGAGCTTCCCCACATTGGTAATAACACATCCCAAACTAGCATATGAACTTTGTGGGGGCTTTCCATTCATTTTCATGTGGTTTTGGGATGAATGTCTTAACATCACAATTTTACTGTGCTCTGTTTCATAAATATAGTCTAAATCGTCTTTTATGAATGAGTCATTTTCCGCATGTTTTTCATGTTGTGCTGGTTTGTGCTGTGTGGGATACGAAGGATCCACCTAAAACTTACTTGTGTCTTATGATAACATTGTAAAATCACTTTCACGCCTATGTTCTTCTCATGCTCCAAAGAAACAACAAACGACTATATTTTTATGTTTAGAAACCTTTACTTTCTTATGACATGCATTATTTGGCCTTAGATCAACTGTTCTGATTTCTTCCACCCTTGTGCGGATGTGTGTCATGAAAAAAATTCTATTCAACTTACAACATTGCTCATCAAATATTTGTTTTCAATTTTGTTCGTCATCATCAATTTTTCAGGAGCTACGAGATAATGAATAAAAGGCTCAAAGTCTATATCTACAAGGAAGGAGAGAAACCAATCTTCCATCAATCAATACTTGAAGGAATATACGCATCTGAGGGATGGTTCTTGAAGCTGTTGGAAGCAAATAAACAATTTGTTACTGAGGACCCCAGAGAAGCTCACTTATTTTACTTACCTTTCAGTTCACGGTTGCTACAGTTAACACTATATGTCCGTAATTCACACGGTCGTGATAACCTAATTCAATACATGAAGAATTATGTGGACATGCTTGCAGTGAAATATCCTTTCTGGAACAGAACTGGTGGAGCAGATCATTTTCTTGCTGCTTGCCATGACTGGGTATGTACTTTATTTTCAAAGAAGTTACAAGCCTTTGTACTACCAAGGGGCATATGTATGTCACGGGGAGGTACATAATTTCCGTGTCCGTGTCTATTGTGTCAAATGTATTGGATCATTTCTATAATTTCACTACGTTAAAGTATTGTATTTGTCCTGTGCTTTTACATATTTTTTCTAAAAACACCGGACTTCACACAAAAGAGTTTCTATTTTTGACCTTGAAACTAAACATGACCCATTTGCCTAATTGAATGCAGATATTCTAATTTCAATTTGCTTGACGGGCACTGATTGAATCCTGGAACAGCTTACTTGTTATTTTACAACGATTTGCAAAGTCACTGTCTCTGAACTCAAACAATTGAAAAGCAAAATGGGATGATTTAATCCCCATGTATCATATGCAAATCAGGCTGTACGTTTGTATTTGCCTATTTGGCAATATCTTTAGCTGGAAATTTCTAACAAATTGCCATTTGCTCAGGCCCCGGCTGAAACAAGAGGGCGTATGCTTAATTCAATCAGGGCCCTCTGCCATGCAGATATCAGAATAGGTTTTGACATTGGCAAGGACGTTTCTATTCCAACAACATATGTACGCTCAGCCCAAAATCCTCTCAAAGATATTGGAGGTGAGCCTCCTTCGCAGAGGTCAATTCTCGCTTTCTTTGCTGGCAATATGCATGGTTATGTCCGACCAATTTTGTTGAAGTACTGGGGAAAAGATCCTGACATGAAAATCTTCGGTAAAATGCCCCACGTCAAGGGCAATAAGAACTACATCCAGCACATGAAGAGAAGCAAGTATTGCATCTGTGCAAGAGGTTATGCAGTCCACAGCCCACGAGTTGTGGAGTCCTTGTACTACGAATGCGTCCCTGTCATCATATCCGACAACTACGTACCTCCTTTTTTTGAGGTTTTGAATTGGGAATCCTTTGCTGTTTTTATCTTAGAGAAAGACATTCCCAATTTGAAGAAAACTCTCCTTTCTATTTCTGAGGATAAGTACCTGGAGATGCATAAGAGAGTGAAAATGGTACAAGAACATTTTCTTTGGCATACTGAGCCTGTGAAATATGATATGTTTCACATGATTCTTCATTCTGTTTGGTACAATAGAGTTTTCCGAATAAAATCCACCTAAACCAAATGATACACATCAAAATGTACTTATATTCTCACTGAAATTAGATTGAATGCGTAGAGCAGGTACAGCAGCTTCCAAAATAATCCAGGAAATCTTTTTGGGTGCTAGTACAGAACATGGACACTTCCCCTAAAGTGTTTCGGGTAATCTTCGTACCAAATGTTTCAAGTTCTTCCAATTCTAATAGTTTTGGCTGAGGCATACTCTTATCAATTTAACGTTTACCCTCCCCTTTTTCAGGCTCTAACAAGGATACAGGACTGGTAAAACGACGTGTAACAAGGATTTTGGCAAGACCATTAACATCAAGGTAATTTGGGCAACTTGGATGCTTACCATCTGCAGGTGAGGTAGCACAAGAAAAGAGTATAGCCTCTTAGCGTTGGATTATATTTGCACAAGGAAAAATTACACTTTGACCCCCTCAACCGTGTGGCCTCTCCCAAATTTCCCCCTCAATGATCACATTTCTCACATTGTACCTCTAACTTTAGTTATTGACTTCACATTGATCTCACAACTATCATGTTTTTCATTTTGCACTTCAAACTATAGTTCTTAATTTCACATTACCTCAATTATAGAAGTTGCTAAAAATTTGTACATTTTCTATCCAAAATTTGTTAGGCATTTGGTTGTGTGGTATTATCAGACTTTTAATAATTGAAGGGACAAACAATGTGAGAAATTCGATAGTTTAAGGAGCAAAGTGAGACTGGCGGTATAGTTGAGGGCGTCAATGTGTAATTTGTCCTTTGCATAATATTCTACTGCTGATCGTGAAAATGTCTCATTGTTCGATTATTGTAGGACAATAGAACATTGCCTAAGAATTCTTTCTTTTCACATAGATTCTGCTGAGTTTTTCTCTATCTGAAAATTTGTTAATATCCTCCCATTTTTCAATTATCTATTTTCTTAACTAGGAAACAAAACTACCCATTCAAATGATGAAGTGTTTTTTTTTCTTATTAGGGCCTTAAATTCCGTAAAATTAAGAAAAATAAGATTACAAGGTTTTCACCTTTTCCTTCTACCATGTCCTCATTTAAAGATGTCGTAATCTCATTTTGATATAAAATACAATAAAAAATCGATAATATCCATAATCATCTATATTAGTCAAGTTGATGTTCATGGCCATTCTTAAATAGTTGGTCTTTAGTAATCAATATTAATAGCTGAAAAATCTCCACTAGTAACTATGCTTTTGGCAAACCAACTGGTAAATAATTAACAACTAATTTTTTTTTTCACACAATTTCTCTTGTAATAGTAGTTACTAAAGACCATAAATGTCTATTAATGTGTGTAGATATTATACAAGTGACCTTAGGAACACAGTTCATTAGTAACAAAGAAGTTGTTTAGGAGCTTTCAGCTTCCAGTTTTTGGCGAAAAAGGTCCATGGACATCGGAAATAGGTTCAACACTTATTTTGAGGAAGAAAGTCTTATAAAACCGAGTGATCTTTCATTACCAAGAAAATATAGGAACTCACTACTCGTGTTTTTTGTTATTAGAGAATCGGTTGTACCTATTATAATTAGAGAGGTTTAGGTTTTGGTCATCCATTTAGCTTCACTTTTACCATTCAAAATTAGTAGAATTTCAATGACCAGGAGACTACCTATTGAATACTTAAAAAAAAAAAATCAAAAAAAGAATAGTAAGTCCCCACCTGTATGAATATGTGACAGTCTTTTCATAAAGAGTCCAGTCCTGGCCTTCCTTTAAATACTGATCAAGACAAAGGATAGAAATTGCTGCACTAAAAAAGGAGGAACATGTAGTCTATCATGGCAGCGTTATGGAGCTGTTGTACAAGGGAAAGCCGCATATATCTTTGTGTTCCTGAATGCAGAATTGCAGAACTCTTTTCTTGATTCAGATCGGAACTTAAAAGTTGTGGTTATATCTAAATACTACATGTGAATTCAACAGAAGAACTACATGGTCCATATATTGTGATCATCATCATGGGAGATTATATAAACATGAGGTCCCACGTTATTGTACTCTGGGCTTATCATTCATTTTTTCTGTTGAAGTCATCGTATGCAATCGATGCCTGTGAAACACTGTCCACAAGCTGTTTGTAGCACGAGGTAGAAAACTCCTTTCTTTGTTTGTTTTATGTATTCAAAACATTTTCGTTTTCAAATTGATTGAAATTATATAGTGGGCGAAATTTTGATCCGTAGTGGAGATATATGGCGTGTTCCTAGTTCCTACTGTTCAATAAGCAAAGTTACTTACTATGTTACTGAAAGAGCTTAAAATGATATATGATTTGAAGGTTGTAACTTGTGTGTGTATGTTTTTTCCCTCTGATCAATAACTGGATCCATGCAAGGGAGCATATAGTAGTCAGTGATGAATGCTCAACTGCAATAGAGGGTTCTGGTAAAGCAATAATCACTGTCTGTGGTACAAAGGGGAGAAGAATCTCAACCAAAATAGGGCAGGTTTTTACTGTCTTTTGGAATATCCTGTCTCATCCTTATTGCCTTTTTTTTATCTTCTGAAGGTTTTTTTTAGGGCTGTGGTCTATGCATGATCATTAGGGAACTTCATTCAGCTTTTATTTGAGGCCTGCACTTAGATGGTATTCATTCTACGCCCCGTGAAATATGTTCAATTGATCAGCCGATTCAGAAAACAAAAAAGAATAAAAAAAAAAAAAAAATAGCACGAGGAGTTAGCCAAGCAGAAAAGGTGGTTGACTTGTTTGTACATACTAAGAGATCAAACCAATCGATGTAAATTACCCCTGCATTTGATGCAAAAAAAACTGATGATTTTTGAACTTTTGATTTGAAAAATGCATTGTTTACATGAAAATGGAGATTCTGGTTAAGAAGAATTTTTTTTTCATGTATAGGGTGAGAAAATTTGAACATTTTGAGTAGTGGTACAAACAGCCCTGGGTGTCCAATTCAATGTATCGCCCCCGCCCGCGCCGCGGGGGGTGGGGGTTGAGGGAGAATTAGAAGATCTTTCCAACAGTTAGGGGTGACAATTTTTGATACGCGAAAATATGACTCAAAATTAACACAAATTAGCAGGTTAGAGTTGATCATTTCTCTACACGAACTCATATGTAACATGACCTGTTAATAAGACTAATAAATGAGTTGGGTTAGTGTCAAACAAAAATAATACGAAATTGACATGATTAACACGTTTAAATAATATTATAAGAATAAAATATTAATGTTTTATTATATTTTAACAAGTAGTGATCAAATTCTTATTAAAAAAAAGATATTTTTAATCATTTTTATTATTATATTTGTTAATTTAATTTTTAGTTTATAAAAAAAATATGAGCATATATTCGATTAAGTGATATTAAAATTTTAGACATAAAATTGAGCAATAAATTTTTTATTTAGGGTGGGCTAACACGAATATGACACGAAAATAAATAGGTTAATACGATATGATTAATTAAACATGTTAAATTATGATTAATGTTACGGGGTAACTTTTGTTTTTCTTTCAAGGCTACTTGTGAAGGCGTTGCTATTGCAACCAGCCACACTCAAACTCAAGAATAAGAGACAGAAACTCACACAGAAGGTGCACACAAATTTACTGGGACAAAACTCTCAAACCTTATATATTGAACTCAACAATTTATAAGAAACCCTCAAAGTCAAAACACTCTCTCTGCCTATCAGAATGATCAAGCACCCCTATTTATACAGGAGTAATGCACATGACACCCCCATCTGCCAAGGGGTAGTTACACGCGTTTTTGCTATTCCATAGCATACTTGGTTAACAGGCTTGGTCTCTGTGCAACACCTGGCAGACAGTTCCACCCCTTTCAGTAACTGATGTGGAACTGTCCTTCATCAGCATGCATCTAGACTAGATTCAGACTAGGGACAATTAGAACTGCCTTAGCAACTCCCTTGACAATGTCTCAGCATCTGTAACTGCCCACATCCTCCTGGTCACATGCATTGAGCAGCCATGTGCCAGTCATGTGCCCACATTCAGTAGCCAGCCTTGCTTCACGAACCAATGTGCATGCTGGGTTCAACCCATGCCATGCAATCCGAAGCTATGTACCTACATTGATTCAATTGAGCCCACCACGCGCTGTCACGCTCAATCGGGTGTTCTCATGCTGCCTTGGTTTGCCTTAATCTGTCGAACCACTTAGCCGCATCACCTTGATTCCAACTTATGGCATGCCTTGGTGCAAGGTGTCACCAAGACCGGCCTTTTGCACCCAAGTCAGTTAGGGTGTAACAAGCCACCCCCACCTGAAGTAACCAATGACCTCGTTGGAATGGAGGCATGATATTGCTTGATGAGATCCTCAAATTGCCACAATGTCGTCTCTTTCTTCCAAGTGGCTTCCTCTGACGCTTTCCCTTTCCACTTGACTAGATAAAGAGTTTTTCTATTTTTCTTACTCATTCCCTCAGTCTTGTGGTCAAGGATAGCTTCAACTATTTCTGTGAATTGCTTCCTGATTGTTGGAGGAGCCCGACGTCGAATGTATCTGTTAGGATCCTCCGGGTTCTCAATATAAGGCTTCAAGAAGGCAACATAAAAAACTGAATGAAACTTGAGACGACTGGGAGGATCCAACCTATAGGCCAACCTGCCAATCCTCATTGTCATAAGGAAAGGGCTGTCATAGCGTTGGATTAGTCCCTTGTGTACAGACTTTCGAGAGATCTTGTTCCAGATTGGTAGGGTCAATTTCAACCTCACTTTGTCACCCACTTCGAACTCTACTGCCCTTCTCTTCTTGTCTACCCACTTTTTCATCCTCTTCACCGTCTTAGTTAAATAGTCTTTTGCCTCGTCGGTTCGCTCCTGATTAGCTCGAGCAAAGCGGTATGCTGTAGGACATCTCCCTTGAGACTTCTGCTTGACAACTTCATGCGGGGTAAGAGACTGTTGGCCAGTTGCCAACTCAAATGGGCTCATTCCAGTGCAAGAGCTCTGTTGGAGGTTATAACTGAATTGGGCTACATCAAGTAAATCCACCCAATTGTCCTGGTTCGCTGTGACATAGTGTCTGAGATATTCCTCCAGCATTGCATTAACCCGCTCAGTCTACCTATCTGTCTGCGGATGATTGCTGGTGGAAAGGTTGAGCTGTGTGCCCAACAATTCAAATAAAGTCGTCTAGAATCCACCAATAAACCGAGTGTCCCTGTCACTAACTATATCCAGTGGAAGACCCCAAAGCTTCACAATATGCTTGAGGAACAACTGAGCAGTAACTTCCGCCGTACATACTTTTAGGGCAACAATGAAAGTGACATACTTCGAAAATCTATCTATAACCACAAATATCGAAGTAAAATCATTCACCTGAGGCAAGCCATTAATGAAGTCCATGGAAACACTATCCCAAGGTCTGCTTAGAATAGGGAGGGGTTCCAACATGCCCGCCACCTTCTTCCTTTCTATCTTGTCTTGCTGGCACACCAAACAAGTGCGCACATACAATCCACATCTACTTTCATGCGGGGCCAATAATAGTTTTCTGCTAGCAAGGCAAGAATCCGTTGCTACCCTAGATGTCCTGAC